TGTGTGTGTGTGTGTGTGTGTGTGTGTGTGTGTGTGTGTGTGTGTGTTTGGCACATTAAGTGTGGAAGGTCAGAGGACTTGTATGGGTGGGGAGTGGTCCTTTCACCCAGTGGCTTCTGGGAAGTGAACTCGGGTCATCGGGTGTGGCAGCATGTACCTTTACCACTTGAGCCATCTCGATGGCTCACTTTCCTTTTTAAGTATAAGTGTTAAAAACTTGTTTTGTATTAAAAAATATCTCAAGTGTATTACACATCCTGGCCATTGTTAAACGGGATATCAGCCCTCATCACGGAAGCAATCTGATTTAATCAGTCTTGGTGACAATTCTCAGAACTGAACAAAGAATAGGGAAGGACTCTGCATATCACGTGGCCCAGAGCTCCCTGGGCGCTGCTTGCTGTCTGCTGGTTCCTTTTCTCATGAGAGCCTCAGAACCTGACCTGACCTGTGGTTTCTAGTTTCTTGTGGGTTAGGATAACTGGGAGTCTTGCCTATTTACACAGAAAGACAAAAGGAAAAAAGGCCTGCCAAGCAGCCATGCCTGCCTGGTCAGATGCGCTGTCCCTCGGATGAGGGCCACTGTGAGAGGGACGAGGCTGGAGTGAGGGGTGCTGGGGGGCTCTGCTGGCTGACAGGGCTAGTTGTCTGTTGCAGCAAAATGCTTGGCCCTGGTGCCGGCTGAGGGAAGACAGTGTTTCTTAAATTAACATGGAATGGTTGTCTTATACCTAACCCCCCCCTTTTGGGTCTACATGATGGAATCCAATAAAACAGAATACATTGGTGTGTAAAGGATATCCAGAATACATTGGTGTGTAAAGGCGGTGGTAGCACTGGTGAGACAGAGGCAGGTCTATGAGTTCGAGGCTAGTCTCATCTACAGAGTGAGTTGCAGGACAGCCAGGGCTACACAGAGAAACCTGTCTTGAAAACAACCAACCAACCAACCAACCAACCAACCAAAGAGTATCTAAAAAATAAAGGGCAGTTCAGATGGGAGCAAACTGGATAAAAGGAGAAAATCAGGAAAGAAGGGTTCTATCCCCTTTCCAGCCAGGGATTTAGGGGAGTATAAATATCTGGGATCAGCTGAGACAAGGATTACATAGTAAGTAGGCCTAGGATTAAGAGTTCAGCCTTTTTAGGGCTAGTGAGATGTCTCAGACAAGGGAAAGGCTCCTGCCTCCAAGTCTAAAGACCTGCGCACCATCCCAGGGACCCACGTAGTGGAAGGAGAGAACCACCTCCTGCAGGTTATTTGAGGGTGTGCTGTGGATGGACTGTGCCAGCTTACTGTGCTCCCCAGGCCTTCCTGTGCACCAGTAGTCCTGGAGACCCAGGCTAGTCAAGGGGCCGGGAGTGAGCCTGGAAGTGTCTGTTGTTCCCCTCCGGGGAAGACTGGCCTGCTTGAAAGGTGCCTTCCCTGCCCTTTCAGCAAACCAAACCAGTGTTTAAGTTGTTAGATAGGCAGAAAGTTCTAGGCTTGTTTATTTTTTATTCATTGTTGTGGCTGTTTTGCTTTGTTTTGTTTTGAGACAGGAGCTCATGTATCCCAGGCTGACCTAAAGCTGAACTTTATAGCTGCTGCTGATTTTCCCATCCTTCTGCTTCTGCCTCCCAAGTTTTGTTGTTACAAACCCTGCCTGCTTTCTGTTCCTGAAGGAGACTCTTCAGGTGTTAGATATGTGGGTTGGAATTGAGCAAAGGCAAAGTCTTGTTGATTGGCAGCTGCTGTGCACATTAACACACTGGCTGCTTGGAGCGCCGGATCATTTGCTGTGCTTGCACAAGGCCCACGTGAGTGGAACCAGCACCCGCATGAGAACCGAGTATGGTTCTGGGGCTGTCTGGACCCACAGCACTGAGGCCAGTGCAGTCACTGCGGGCACTGGGGCTGGCTAGCTCCCAGTCTCCCATCTTCTGGCCTTACCTTTCCTTGTTTTTGTGGATGCCTGTAATCCTGAAAGCTGTGATTATTTGGGGGGTTAGCTAGTTGAGTAGAGGGACTGTTCCTTTCATACAGCCACACAGTGACCAAGTGTTGTGTCCTCCCCCTTTTTGTCCCTTTCAGAGTCCTACTCTAAGAACACGGACACTCGGGTGTCTGCCATGGTGCTGGATCCTGAAGAAAAGATGCCAGACGGTAACTTCCAGCTTCGTGGCATTATCTGCACGGGATTGGGCGCTCGGCAGTGACAGGCTGTCGTATCGCCACCTGCCCTGAGAAGGCCAGTCAGAGTCTTGTCTGGTCACAGGCTATGAATGAGAATGAATTTACAGCCGCAGAATTCCGCCTCATAGCGTGTTTCTTGCCACCTGAGTTATGACTAGCTAATTTGGTTTCTGGCTCAGTGATGCTTTCAAGGACAGTGCCCTTCTTAGACCTGGCAGTGACGTCCATCATGCCCACTGGGTCTGCCAACGTTTCAGGCATGGAGCGGACGCACACAGGGCTGAGTCACGCTCTGTCTTCCGCTGAGTCCCTTCTGAATCTGAGCTTCCCCTCTAGATCTGTTCCTTTCTGCTGAGTGAAGATGACATGGCCAGCTCCCAAGAGAGTCAGAGCTCTGATTTTTTTTTTTTTTAAGTTGGTTGTAGGGGCTTATGGGAAACAGAAGAAGGCTTTGTGGTTCAACCTGGCATCTGATGCCGGCAGCTAAGTGGACTTTGCTTCTGGTGGATTAGCCCTTTTCTGCCAGGCCTTCCCTCCTTACATGCATGATCAATGCCGCCCTCAGGGGCACACTGCTGCCAGGAGGTGCCAGCACTCGTGACCACCAACTCTTGCTCCTGTGCATAGCCTTAGTCAGAGCCCCAGCCTTCCTGCTCAGTGGTTTCCTGTTAGTGTCCACGTGAGCGTGGACTCTGTCAGGATTTTCCAGTTCTCTCTTTTGTTGTGTCGTATCCAAGGATTTTTTTTAAACAATTTATTTTATTTTATGTTCATTGGTGTTTTTCTTGCATGTGTGTCTATGTGAGGGTGTCAGATCCTCTAGAACTGGAGTTACAGACAGGTGTGAGCTGCCATGTGGGTGTTGGGAATTGAAGCTAGGTCCTCTGGAAGAACCGTCTGTGCTCACTACTGAGCTATCTCTCCAGCCCCCCAAGGATGATTCTTAGAGTGAGTCCTAATGAATGATGGGATGGGAGGATATCCAGCTGATTAACTTATGTTCTCTTAAAAATTAAGAATTCTAGGTTACCAGTGGGGCTAGTTTGTCAATGAGGAGTCCTAGGCATGAGTTCTTTGTTTAAGTAAAAGTTTTGTTAAATTGTAGTCCAGGCTGACCTCAAACCTGTGATCTTCTTGATTAGCCTCTCAAGCGTGACAGTGTTCTTACAAGAAAATGAAGTGTAGACTCAGTGCTGTTAAATTAGTAGTGAGATTGATCCAGGCGGGCCTCAAGGTTGGGAGAGGATGTGGAGCTGTGGGGTTAAAGGAAGGAGTAGGGAGTGAACAGGATCAAAATACACTGTATGAAAGTCTCAAAAGATTAATGAAATAGTGTATTAAAGTGATCTAAGCCTGAGGGAGTGCCATTGGAGGCTTTTGAGCTTCTTTGTCTTTCCTTTGAGAGAGGGTCTAGCTGTGTAGGCTGACCCTGAACTCTCAGTCTTCCTTCTCTCCTTGGCTTTCTGAGTGTTAAGATCACAGGCTTATGCCACGGTCTCTGTGTCCGTCCTTCTGTTTTTAACCATGTGCACACATTACCTAACTCAGTTACAGTGTGCTTGCCTGGCATGCATGAACCCTGGGCCCAGTCAGCACCACATAAAAGCAGTTAGGGTGGCTGCGATCTGTTACTCGGGAGGTGGAAGGAGGAGGACCGATGAGAGTGGCCCTGGGCTTCAGGCGGCTCTTTATCTACTGGAGCCTGTCTCGTAGTAAATACATATATATGTGTGTGTGCACGTGTGCGCATTTACTTAAAATGTGGATAAGTGAGCGGGATAGGATAAGGATATACTAACGCCAGGCTGGGCTCTTGTGTGCACAGTCCAAGGTCATTTAACTTTGGGTCTAACGCTGTTGCTCACTGAGGGGCAGGTTCCAGACTCGGGCTGGTTCTCCGTCATTGTGGAGGGCTGTGTCGCCGCATTACTAAGGATGCTCATTAGCGGGGTTTGCTCTGTTGCCTCAGATGGCGCTTCTGGGGACCACGCAGACTCTGCCAGCCTTGGCGCCATCAACCCTGCCTACAGCAACTCCTCCCTCCCCCTGTCCACCGGGGATTCCGAGGAGCCCTTCACCACCTACTTTGATGAGAAGATCCCCATTCCGGAGGAGGAGGTTAGTGACAGTTCAGGGAGGGGACCCTGTGTCCTGGGGAAAGCCCGTGAGTGAAAGATCTGCTCGCCACTCACGCTGTCAGCAACCTCAGCTCCCACTTTGCCAGCCAGACTCTTATTTTTTTAGAAATTTATTTACCTTTATTTTATGTTCATTTGTGTTTTGCCTGCATGTGTGTCTGTGTGAAGGTGTCAGATCTTGGGAGTTACAGACAGTTGTGAGCTGCCATGTGGGTGCTGAGATCTGAAACCCAGGCCCTCTGCCAGAGCGGTCAGTGACCTTGACCACTGAGCCATCTCCCCAGCCTGCAGCTACATTTCTGTCATCAGAGTAAACCAGCTGCCGTGGAAAGACCTCAGACGAGATGCTAGGTGGCATTACTGGGCATTTTGTTTTTCAAGGCGGGGTTTCTCTGTGTGACAGAGACTGTCTGGCTGTCCTGGACTGATCAGTAGAGCAGGCTGGCCTCAAACTCACAGAGATCCGCCTGCCTCTGCCTCCCTGAATGCTGGGATCATAGGCGCTTGCCAGCACTCCTTTCTCGAATGTGGCTCGGCTGCTGTGTGGGGAGCCGGTGAGCACGGAGTGCCATATTGCCTCAGTTTAGACTGGGTTGCTGATGGAGAGCAAGGAAAGGAAGCTGTCACTGTGCAGCGTGTGTTCCTCCCTGATGTGATAAAATGGGAGAGACGCTGGCACAGGTGACGCTCAGGCTGCTTTTCCTCTCTCTTTTTCAGTACTCTTGTTTTAGCTTTCGTAAGCTCTGGGCGTTCACGGGACCTGGCTTCCTTATGAGCATTGCCTACCTGGATCCAGGAAACATCGAGTCTGACTTGCAGTCTGGAGCAGTGGCTGGATTTAAGGTGTGCTCAGGTGTAGCCCTGCCTGAAAGCAGGTTCTCATCATCGGTCTTGTCCCTCTTACTTTCACGGCACAGAGAAGGGCCCGGGCCTCGCCATGCTATCCTTCAGCACTCCCCACACTCTCCCCATTCCCTAGCTCTTACTGAGTAGCCTCAGACTCTCCTTCAGGCAGAGCTGACCCTTTGAACAACATAAGTTTGAATGGGCGTGTCTACTTTTGTGTAGGTTCTTTGTAGCTTCGTAGCAACTTGTAAAGGCCACAGATGAACTGCATAGCTTAGAAATACTGAAAATTTAAGTTAGGTATGTCATGAATGAATAAAATATATATAGATAATGATCTATTTTATTTACTTATTTTAGTTTTTTTTTTCCAGACAGGGTCTCTCTATCTGTATCCCCATAGCCGTGCTGGAACTTACTCTGTGGAACAGGCTGGCCTCCGCCTTCCAACTGCATGGCGTTGGCAGCCATGCCAGGCTCAAATCATAATGTTTTATAACTTGCCCAGGATGTAAAGATCCCACACACAGAAGTTAAAATGTGTCCCATCTGTGAGCACACAGTTCATGGTGGAGGAGTAGGGGCAAATGTAGGGCGTGCCGCTAACCCTGAGCAGGTCGATCAGCTGCAGAGCAGCTGTTGCCAGCTGTCGCTCTCGTGAGCTCCGTTGTGATCACTTATGCCGCTGTGTGGCCAGCCACTTCTGTGTGAGAGCTTTTCTCTCCAGGAAGCCGTGTATGTCAGGAAAAAGCGATTCTGGGTTGTCAGTTGTTTTTACCACGTGTATTTGTGCCAGTTGCTTCTTGCCCTTTTGGCTCAGGGCAGGTGTGAAGTAGGTGTTAGTGGCTGTTATTGGGAAGCTTCTGAAGGCATCCAGTGAAGTTGTAGGGTGCAGAGCTGTGAGAAACCTTTGCTGCCTGGCAGAGGAGCAGGGAGCCTGGTGTCTTCAGTCTCACATCTTACTTTTCCAACCTTGTGACAAGACACTGCAACCAAAATAAAAGGACTTCACTGGGCTCACAGTCAGAGGGTTTAGAGTCCATGATGGCGGAGCAAAAGTGTGGCAGCAGGGCATCTGCTCACCCTCATCGCCACGCAGGCGGGGAGGACACTGGGAAAGGCCGGAGGCTTTGCGACCTCTGCACTGACCCTTCCCGAATAGTTCCACCAACTGTTTTCAAAGCGAGCCCATGGCCATCTCATTCTAGCCACCACGCCTGCCTCACTGTTCCAGGGTGCAAGGGTCATCATTGGCTGTGACGCTCATGTGAAAAGTGCTATGTGGTCTTTTGTCGTATCTACATAATTTCCTTAGGGGAAACGGTAGTTGTGTAGGGCCTGATACAGCGTTTGGGTCGTATTCCTGACCTGGCTGTGTCCTGACTGAGCTGTTCCCACTAATATTCCCAAGCAACCAGGCAGAAGGCCTTCAGCTGCCTGACAAGTGCCGCTGTTCTCTCCTCAGCTGCTCTGGGTGCTTCTGCTGGCCACCATCGTGGGGCTGCTGCTCCAGCGCCTCGCAGCCAGACTTGGAGTGGTCACCGGCCTGCACCTCGCTGAAGTGTGTCACCGCCAGTACCCCAAGGTGAGCAGCATGCTGTCCTGCTTATCTGTCCCCTGTGTGCTGGCCCCAGGCTGACCGCCATGCAAGAGTGAAACCAGAAGTACCAAGCGGATCTTTCGGCCTCTGCTGTCAGCCCAGCCCCCTCACTCACCTTTTTGTTGCTATTTTGAGACGGGCTCACTAGACCAGGCTAGCATTGAACTCTATATTTAGTCAAGGATGGATGGCCTGGAGCGGCTCATGTCTGTTTCTTCTGAGAGCCTGGAAGTACAGGCTTGGGAACGTTCTGCATAAGCACTCAGCCCTCTTCTTTTATTGTTTAATGTCACCATCACTTTGAAAAACACATTTTTTTACAAGTAAGCTGTAGGATTTGCTGATTACTTTCAATTTACTTTGTCCCTATAGCTTCCTTCTAAGTATCTTTTTCTCACTGCCACCTAAAATGGAAATGACCTCTGTTGGACGACTTTGGGGGATGGGTACTCAGAGAACAACTCAGCCTTCACGATCACTTAACTGGCGTCCTAGAGACAGACAGGCTCTTGTCATGACTGAAAAACATTTTTAGGTTGGTTTCATTTTAGATCTGAGACAGGCGTCGCTTGAGTGTGCCCTACTCCTGAATCCCACTTCTGACTGTGAGCATACAGGTTTTGTGTTGTTTTTCTTTCTATTCTCCTAGGCTGGTTGGTTGGTCAGTCTGTCTGTCTGCATCTCTTTCTCTCTCTCTCTGTAGCATAGGATGTTCTTGAAATCTTGATCATCCTGCTGGAATTCGTGAGTGCTGGTGTTATAGGCGTGTGCCACTATACATGATAATATAAATTATTTTTACCAACTTTGGAGAAAAAGTTGCCGTTTTATAATTCCCTTTAATTTCTTTTTCTTTGTGCATATTAATAGGTAAGTATCCAGAGGCCTTCTAGCGTCAGAAACCAGATTAACTGAATTTGTCTTTCCACTCATCTGTTGGTCCAGATTTAGTTTCCTTGTTGCTATACCCCGTCCATTCTCAGCTGGTTTGCCTTGAACACTTCAGGTCGAGACTTATTTTTAATTATGTGTATGTATTTGGATGTGTGCCTGTGAGTGCGGGCATCTGCGGAGGCCAGAGGCTTCAGGGCCATGGACTCTTGAAGGAGTCGTGAGCTGCCTGGGTGCTGGGAACTGAGATTTACTCTTGTGCCCTTGGCAAGAGCAGTTTGTGCTTTTAGCCACCGAGCCCTCTTTCCTGCCCCTTACCCTGAATGCTTTTGCATATGTCTTTTTCACTTGTTTGCATATTATTATTTAACTCAAGATGCTACAGTCCATCTCTGATGTGCTTTGTAAACTTAGCTGTGGACAAGACAGAGGTTTTCTTACTTGCTCATGTTCTCTGTTGACTCCCATTTTGACCATATTTGTATATTTATTTTCCCCTGTGACTTTTTAGATTGTTCTTAGGCCAGAGGGTAAGGGGAAGGTAATGACTAGAAATTCCACAATTCCACTCTTCTCCGGAGACGGTTAAGGAGAGCCAGGGCCTGGGTCCCTCCCTGACCCTGGCGCACTGTCTGCCACAGGAAGCAGTTCTTTGCTCTGTGGGGTGCTGTGTGTGGCCGAGTTCTGGTACTTCCAGTTAGGATGGCTAACCAGAGCCACCATTGCTTTGTAGGTCCCTCGGATCATCCTGTGGCTGATGGTGGAGCTGGCCATCATCGGCTCCGACATGCAGGAAGTCATTGGCTCGGCCATCGCCATCAATCTCCTGTCTGCAGGAAGGTGAGGCCTTCCCTCTAGCACACTGTCAGTATTAAGCTGGCTTCCAGAGCCGGAGTGGAAGCGAAAAGCAGCTTCTTTTCGACAGTCAAGATTCGCACTGTCTGGAACCACCTTACCCCTCCTGACAGACGTAGTGTGCACCTCCCACTTCCACAGTGGGTCGCACACACTTGTGTTTAAGTGGAGTGTGTGGTGCGTTGTAGCAGTTACCCGTTTGTAAGACTGCTTATCCCACTGCCTAGCGAGTCCTTCTGTGTGGGACCCGTGCATTTCATCTGTGTGTCCCCCGGGTCTGACGCAGACAGTGCTCGGGGAGTGCTGCAGGGGGTGAGCTTCTGCTGACACTGGGGCTCAGCAGCCATCGCTCGCTCCCCCCCGGCTCCTCCCCGAGGGCCCAGCTCTTCCAGGTGGTGTACAAGGTGTGAAGAAAGGGTCCTCACTGGGTCTTTGATCACTGTTCTCATCTCTAACCCAGGGTTCCCCTGTGGGGCGGCGTCCTCATCACCATCGCAGACACCTTTGTATTTCTGTTTTTGGACAAATATGGTAAGGCCACTGGAGCTGGTGGGGTGAGCCGAAGGAGCCAGTGCAGGCGCTTGTTGGGGGGTTGCCTCTGCTCACTGCTGCGTTTCCCCTGCAGGCTTGCGGAAGCTGGAAGCATTTTTTGGCTTTCTCATCACTATTATGGCCCTCACATTTGGATATGAGGCAAGTGTGGCAGGCTGTTGGGAACTGTTTAAAACGAAAGCTTCATCTTGTTTTGTTTGTAATCTTTTCTTATAAAAAGCAGGAATAATGGCAGAATAGCTAAACTGTATTGAATCAACAAAAAGCCAAGGCATGTCAGGGCAGCTTTGAGAGACTGTAGTCTGAGGCAAGGATTCATGTGCAGGAAGGCCTAAATGACTAGACTCTACAGGACCCTTTAGGACCATTGCTTTAGGTACCAAATCAGCTGCCCCGGCAGCAAAAGAGCTTCTGAGTGGACTGCAGGGTCATTGTTGACGCTGACTCAAACCAGTTCTGCTTATGCTCATCGTGGATGAAATTAATTAAACAGCTGACGCTGAGCTGGGTGAGCTGGTGCACACCTCTAATGCTAGCTAGGGAGAGACTCAGGCTGGCCTCTGTGAGTTTGAGGCCGGCTGGTCCCGTGCAAGCCAGCTAGGCTACAGAGAAGACAAGGCTCTGTAGACGGTTAGAGGCGATGGCTGATCTTCCTGGCTTGTGCCTCGCCCACCCCTAGGGATGAGCACATTGTTTGCACTCTTTCATGTCCAGTTGTTGTGAACTAGTTTGCACTTACAGGCCTGCCTAAACAGTAAGAAGACATCTAGTCTCTGAGTCGATTTTCTCAGGTTGTCCCAAGGCTTGCAAGAGAAACCCTGACCCAGGAAGAAGTGTGAGGAGAGGTGCTGAGCTGCCCCTCAGGCGAGCATGGGTGGGTTCAGATGAGCAGGTGAATAACAGCCTGAGGAGCTGGGTTTGGGACGAAACTATCCTCGGATCTGTGTGAGCAGTTACAGTGACACAGAGAACACAAGGCCTCTAGCCAGTTACCGCAGAATGTTCTCTCATAGCTCTGTTGTGAGTGTAATGTACAATATTCAGAATATACAGTCCTAAGTGCTCCGACCCCTGGCAACCAGCCCTGGCATTAGCTAGCTTTGTGTAATTGTAACAAAAATACTTGAGGAAAATAGCAGGAGGAGGAAGGGTCTACTTAAGTAGGGTTTCAGAGGGCTCAGGTTGGCCCGCAGTTCCTTGGGCAGGATACCCTGGTGTCAGGAGATTTGTGTGGGAGACCCCACCTCGGCGCAGACAGGAAGCACAGAGGGGCCGGGCATGGCTCGGCCAGGACGACTCGCCCTGTTGCCCTGCTTCTTGCGGATAGGCTCCCCTGCCAGCGCTTCCTCCACATGGCCGGCAGTGCACCCAGAGGGCGCTGAGTCCAGCCAGAGCCCATGGCGGGCAGTTTATTCAGGGCACACCAGCCCGTCATTCCCTTCGTGCTGGGGCTGCTGGGGTGACCTCGGGCATGCCGGCAAGTGCCTGCTGATGCCGCAGTCCTCGAGGTCCTGGTGGTTGTCACTGAGGTGGCAAAGGCGCAGAGGATGCAGGGTGTCCCCCGTGCTGTTCTCCCCTTTCCGTGGTGCAGTCCAGGCTAACAGGCGTTATGTTGCTGTGTAGTATGTTACAGTGAAGCCCAGCCAAAGCCAAGTTCTCAGGGGCATGTTCGTGCCGTCCTGTTCAGGGTGCCGCACCCCGCAGGTGGAGCAGGCTGTGGGGATCGTGGGAGCCGTCATCATGCCGCACAACATGTACCTGCACTCTGCCCTCGTCAAGGTGAGCAGAGCCTCTCCCCTTTAAGTGCAGCGTGGTTGTGAACCTAGTCTGGGGGCGCGTTGCTCCTCTGACCAAGATAAGGGACCCACAGGCTACAGGCTGGTATTCTTCATGAAGGGCCTGCAAGTCTTGAAGTTGGGAGGAGAGGTGGGCTTTCCCAGCAAGTCAGGAGCTCCTCTGCCAAGGTAGTTCCGAGGTGTGACCCTTGGTCCGGCAGCCCTGGACTGAGCCGGGTCTGTGGTCGCCCGGCCACTGGCCCCCCGTTTTGGGGTTGTGCAGTGCTGTCAAAGGTCGTGGAGCCTGTTGCTCCATGAGCTCAGGCCTCTCCTTTTCACCAAGTCAGTTGTCTGCCCTCGCAGCCCTTCGGCCGATTCTGGCGTTCTGAGTTGGGCCAGCGCACTCTCTGCAGCTGGTGGGATGACACTCTGCTCTCTCCAGTCTAGACAGGTCAACCGCGCCAACAAGCGGGAGGTCCGAGAGGCCAACAAGTACTTCTTCATCGAGTCCTGCATCGCGCTCTTTGTCTCCTTCATCATCAATGTCTTCGTCGTCTCTGTCTTTGCTGAAGCATTTTTTGGGAAAACCAACGAGCAGGTGGTAAGTAAGCCAGGGTGGGGAATTCCAGGGCTGCATACTGCAGTGGGGCACAAATGAGCCAGGACATGGGACCCAAGGAAGTTTATCTGCAGCCTGGTGTCCCCCAACCCGACTCCTCCAGTCGGGACACACCAGCCCACCTGTGGTGTGGGGCTGCGGCGCCTGCTGGGGTGGGTAGGAGGAGCTGGCCTTGGGCTCACACTTGCTCATGCTGTCACAGACAGAGCATCTTGGCTCTTTGGCTCATGTCTGTTTCCCTTGTATTAACCCCTGCCCGCCTGTGTGCTCGTCCCGACGGCTGAGCTGAGGACAGGTTAGGACCAGCAAAAAGAAGCACACACTGTGGGAGGGCAGACTTGGGCTGTGTGAGCTCCAAGTCCCCTTAACGCCTGCTGCTGCCCCTGTATTTTGGTTGGTTGGTTGGATGTTGTTGTTGTTCTGTTTTTTTAGGGTTTTTGTTTGTTTTTTGGGGGGTTTCTTTTAAGATGCTGGGGTGGACCTAACCTGAACTCAATGCTAAGCAGGCCCTCCACCACAGAGCTCCAGGCCAGATTCCTGTTGAGTTGTGACCATCATTTGTTCCTACAGGACCTTTGTGACTCCTAGCTCTGTTTGCTGAGGTGTCCTGATTCTGGTTCTCTCACATTTGAAGTCTTCTGTTTTGTTTTCTCTTTTTTGTTTTGAATTGGGTGTTGGTTTTTGAAACAGGGTCTTAACTATGTGGCCCTGGCTGGAGAGTTGAAACTCACTCTATAGAGCAGGCTGATCTGGAGCTCACGGGACCCCACCTGCCTCTTCCTCCCGAGCACTGGGATTAGAGGGCTGCGCCACCATGATAGGTCTCCCCTCTGCAGCCCGGCCTGTCCTCATCTGGGGTTCTTCTGTGTCAGCCTCCTGAGTGCTCCACAGATGCCTCCCTAGAGCTCTGTCCTCTTAGTTTCACCTGGCGCTCCAGCATTTGCTTACTGCCATGCGAGCTCTAGGGCGTTAAAAGCTGGGGGGGGGTTGGGGAGCAGCTGCACCTGCACGGTGGCCCTGGGGAACGCTTCCTCCCGCCTATCTCATGCACAGGAATTTGCTTCTCTGGCTCTTCCTAAAACAAAATCTTCAAACTGCTTTGGGTTTTAGGTCGATGTCTGTAGAAACAGCAGCAGCCCCCACACTAACCTCTTTCCTGACAACAACTCGACCTTGGCTGTGGACATCTACAAAGGGGTGAGCACACGCTGCAGTCTCTGCTCTCGGGGAGACGGGAGCCGCTTCTCTGGCCCTTTTGTGAGTTCATTTCCGATCTGTGCGTAGCTCCCGAGTGGCAGGCCCATATACCAGGTACACATTTGGAGCCAGGGTGGGTAGGAGAGGGGCCCTGCGCACGTCGACTGGAGTGACAGAGGAGCTTGGTGCTGTGCTCCTTCGCAGGTGCTCTTGGGCCTTTGTGGGTTCCAGCGTGACCCCCAGAACAGAGGGTTCTGCGCTGCATTCCCCACGTGGGGTTCACTGTCTGCACCCCTCCCTCCATTTTTCAAAAAAGTGTGTCAGGGAGCACGCTTAGGGAAGTGTAGGGTTCTGCCCTTCGGTATTTAAGATGGAGGTTAAAGGCGAAGGTGATGGAGCACAGGGAGGAGGGAGGAGGACCGTGCTGAGGAAAGAAGGGCCACCCAGCAGAGCGAGACTGGAGGCCGCCAAGCCAGGCGCAGAGCCTCATTATGCGCAGTGCCCGGCACGGCGCTTGGTACTGGTGTTCACGACGGAGGGAGGTCCCCCGCGCTGCCGTTCTGGTGTTGTCTGAGCAGGTCACCAACCAGCTTCTGTGTCCTTCTGTCCAGGGCGTTGTGCTGGGCTGTTACTTCGGGCCTGCGGCACTCTACATCTGGGCAGTGGGCATCCTGGCTGCAGGACAGAGCTCCACCATGACCGGAACCTATTCTGGCCAGTTTGTCATGGAGGTGCGTGCAGAGCTGCATGGGGGAGATAGCACAGCTCTGTGTGCCAACCTCATGCTTCTAAGCTCCCCCCCCCAGCATCTCCCCTTCTGTCACATGCTATTGGTCACCAGCCCCCATGCTTCCTTTCAGGGATTCCTGAACCTAAAATGGTCACGGTTTGCCCGAGTGATTCTGACGCGCTCCATTGCCATCATCCCCACTCTGCTTGTTGCTGTCTTCCAAGATGTAGAGCATCTGACAGGAATGAATGATTTCCTGAATGTTCTGCAGAGCTTACAGGTGAGCGGGAAGCTGGGTGAGATCACGCCACCTTCAGTCCTACCCTTGGGCCCAGGCCTCTTGCTGGAGGCTGGGCACTAGGGGTGGCTGAGAGGAAGAGGCATGGAGTTGATTAAATGGAAATTACGAGCTATGCTTAGCATATAAAGCACAGAACTGAGGCCACCAAGATGGCTTGGTGGATAAAGTGCTGTCTGCACTGTATCAGCATAAAGCCCCAAATGGTCCCTGCAGGCACAGGAGGAAGGACTGTCACCACAAAGTCGGCCTCTGACCTCCACATTGAGCCATGACATGGATGTGCCCACCCACCCACTCATCCATCTATCCACCATCCATCTATCCATCCACCCATCTCTCCACCCATCCATCCATCTATCCATCCATCCATCCACCCACCCATCCATCCACCCATCTATTCATCCACCCACCCATCCATCTATCCACCCACCCATCTACCCATCCATCCACCCATCCATCTATCCACCCACCCATCTACCCATCCATCCACCCATCCATCTATCCATCCACCCATCTATTCATCCATCCACCCATTCATCTATCCATCCACCCATCCATCTATCCATCCACCCACCCATCCACCCATCCACCTACCCATCCATTCACCCATCCATCCATCCATCCATCCATCCATCCATCCATCCATCCATTCATCTATCTCTGTCTTATCTCTTCCCTCTCCCCACTCAGTCTCTGTCTCTCTTATACACACACAGACAGGTAATAAGTAAATTAGTGATACATAAAAATCCACAGTGTTATAGCTCATTAATGCAGCAAGAGCAAATCATTAAATGAATTCTAAGAATACCACTAACTCCTATGGAGCTTACAAATTAAGTCACATCCAAAATGCTATTTATTTTCATTTATGTGTATCAGTGTTTAACCTTCATGTATATATGAGCACTATGTGTATGCCTGGAACCTGAAGAGTTCAGAAGAGGGCATCAGATCCCCTGGAACTGGCATTACAGACAGTTGTGAGCTGCTGTGTGGGCGCTGGGAACTGGACCTGGATCCTCTGCAGGAGCAGCCAAGCAAAGTGTTCCTAACCACTGAGCCGTCCCTAGCCTCCAGGGTGTTGTGGTTTTGTGTTTTTAAAAAAAGGCACTTAAACTTGTGATTAGTGCTGGATTAAAGGTAATGTTTGGCCAAGGCAAGGTGATAGGAATAACTGTTACCCATTGTATAGGTGACATAGGGCTTCTGATTTGCTTTCATGGACCATCCTGCTGTCTGTGGCAGTACAGTAGCCAGTGCTCTCTGGGAAGCAAGAACCTCAACTGAAGAATAGTTTCCATGATTGATGTGGAGGGGGAGAGGGAGAACTGGAGCCGGGCCAGTGCCAATAAGCAGCATTCCTCCAGTTTCTGTCTAGGTCCTGCCCTGACTTCTCAGCGATACCCTGTGGCCTGGAGGTGTAAGTCAGATAATCCCTCTCCAATACCCTTCTCCTCTCCAGGTTTCATCATAGGGCCTTATCACAGCTTAAAAGATAGAACTAATGCACCCACATAATCCCACCTGATACACCCGCATAATCCAATCCACTCTTTTCCAGCTCCCCTTTGCCCTCATACCTATCCTGACGTTCACAAGCCTGCGGCCAGTTATGAGTGAGTTTTCCAACGGAATGTGAGTACTTTGTCAGCGTTCTCCAGAGCGGCATGGGAGGGGGATTTTTACTGGGCAGGCAGTTGGAAATGCGTCCACATTTCGCACCTTTCTAGAAGCAATTGCTGTCTGCTTTCTCTTTTGGCTTAGAAAGAAAAGGTTGAGTAATGGGAAGGAAGGAGAAAACACTCCTTCAGACCTAAAGCCCTGCAGTATCAGCCGCTGCAGTTTAAAATGTGTGTTCAGATGTCCAGGAGAGGCACAAGCTAGTGGCATCTTGTGTACATCTTGACAGGGTCTGTGGGGTGTGCTGTTTGTTTCTGCTGCCATGACAGACACCCTGCCACAGATGCAAGCAGCTGATCCTGTCACAGCCACGAGCAGCCGTGATGAGCATGTCTTTCCTGCAAGTTTGCTTCAGGCTCGATGGCAGCTTTCCTATGGGGTTCAGGGTGCACTGTCTAGGCGATGGTGCCTCCCAGCTTGAGCTGGTTGTTCCCACATCAGCCCCTATAGATGTGCCCACAAGCCGGCCTGATGTGGAGAATTTCCCATAAGACTCCCTTCCCAAGTGGTCCCTGCCTGTCAAGTTGGCAGTAAAACTGTCAGCACACATGTTCGTGTGACCTGTTAGGCTTCAGGGGCCTCTAGTACGGCCCCACCATACTAGAGGAAGTGGGACCCAGGAGAGTGGAGCCGATAGTGAGGTAAGATCAACTATTCAGAGCCAATAGTGAACCCAGGAGAGTGGGGCCGATAGTGAGGTAAGATCAACTATTCAGGGCCTCAGGCGGTTGACTCTGAGAGTTAAGAAAGTCACAGAGTGATGTTCTCGTGAGTCCAAGCTGGATATAATCACACGTGGTTTTTCTATAGAGGCATAGGGAGGAGAGTGCAAACATTGAATTGAGTAAACACCAGCAAGCATAGTGAGCAATCTGAAGTAAGCTCGCTCCTGTCACCACATGTGAGCGCACACAAGCGTGTTCAGTGTTCACAAGAACTCTTGAAGAAACTGTGCTCACAAGGCTCCTGACAGTCGAGTTTTCTCTCTGTGCCCCTCGCACAACCTCATTCCTGGACCATGTTCCAGCATGTAATGAGATGGCTCAGTGTACTTGTAGGACCGTCTGAGCTTTAGGGTCTTATGCGCTAGGTTTTTGTGCCAGAGAGATGGCTCAGTGGGTAAACACCTGCCAACAGGCCTGACAGCCTGAGCTCCGTCAATCTCTACGGCTCGTGTAAAGGAGGAGGGAGAAGAGTGAGCGCACAGAGCTGGTCCTCGACCCTCACACATGCTGCAGTAGACCTGTGTCCGCACCGCACACCGCCGTGTGCACGCCTAAGTCGGGTTAAACACGAGGTTCTGTTTGCTGCAGCCCTTCCCTCCTTACGTTGCCCTCAACCCGTGTCCGGGTCACCCCGGGAGACAGTGCAGTGTGTGTGGTGAGCCGACCGTCACAGAGTCCTTTCTCCTGCAGAGGCTGGAGGATCGCAGGTGGCATCCTGGTCCTTATCGTCTGCTCCATCAACATGTACTTTGTCGTGGTTTATGTCCAGGAGCTCGGCCACGTGGCACTGTACGTGGTGGCCGCAGTGGTGAGCGTGGCTTATCTGGGCTTCGTGTTCTACTTGGTGAGTCCCATGTGAAGGGAGCAGGGCGCCGGGGCCTGGGATGGCACAGGAGGGTACCATCCTTCAGAAACCAATGCTCCCCAAAGAGCCCAGCAGTTTACTGAGGCCGATTGCATGGCATTGTCAGATCAACTGTTTCTGAAAGTTCATTTAGTTGTTGTTGTTGTTTGGTGGTGGAGCAGGGGTGAGGGGGTGCTGTTTCTTGAGACAGGGTTTCTCTGTGTAGCCCTGGCTGACCTGGAACTTGATCTGTAGACCAGGCTGACCTCTCTCTACCTCACAGAGATCCTCCTGCCTCTCCCTCCCGAATGCTGGGATTAAAGGCACGGGCTACCACGCCTACCTTATTTTAGTTTTTCATACCTGGTACTTTTCTATTTCTGTTGATTTTATAAGGATCCAATATTTAACTCCTAAAGAGAAAGTCATATTTTCAAAACAAGAGTGCTCAGGGGCTGCACAGCAAGCATAAGGGGACCTGAGTTCAAATCCCCAGGACCCACATAAAAATACTGGAATGTTGTAGTTGTCTGTAACCCCAGCACCGCAGCAGGGAGACAGCAACCGGGGAATCCCAGAGGCCTGCCAGCCGAGCTCCAGGCAAGAGAGCCTGTCTCAAAGGGAGAAGTGACTACAGGAAGCATGGGGACCCGCTGTGGTCTCTGCAAGTGTGTAAGCTGCACACACACGCAGAGGGCAAATGCGGAGGTGTTTATTTCCCAGCCCTTCCCATGACTTTTACTAGTTAAAAAGCTATAGCAGTAAGAACGGATTCAAGTATCTGTTTGGTACAGAGTTCTGAAAAAACTAAGGTTGGAGATGAGAAACAGCAGAGCCCAGGCCATTTCTACTGTGGAGAATGTTGGAGATGGGGCTAGAGCCCTCTCCTCTCTGAAGCACTTCACACGCTCTGTCTACCACAGAACCTGCTTGAGGAAATGACCTCAGTGTATATTTAATATGTGGCCTGGATCCATGTATCTCTCTCCTTTCCAGTACAGCTTGAGCGGACAGGGCCATACTGCTCACTGAAAGACCTTGGAAACCTGGTAGTTGCGTGTGTTCTTGGCAGGAATGATTTTCAAAATCTCTTAGAGGTTCGGCCCGCTGTTCCTCTATGCAAATCAGGTGTGAAGCGCTGGGTTAGTCAGGCCCTAAGGCAAGTGATTGTCCAAGCCCAGTCTTAGAGGTAGGGCCAAGTCCACATCTTGCTAACAGCTGTTTAGGTCAAACCCAAGAGTGTCAGCTGTGTGGCGGCTTCTCTAGCCGAAACCTGTGTCTTTGGGAAACTGGGAAAATGGCTGCCGGAGCACAGAGAAGCCAGTGTTGAAAGGCTTTGCTGGGGAGAACTCCAGGATATTCTGAAGCAGCAGAGGGTCGGAGAGCCTGACTTGGACAGAGCTGGGTGTTGGGAGGACGCAGGCGTGCCTCTGCGTAGCACTGCATGTGCTGTGTTGGTGGGCGAGTGACGCTCTTGTTTTCTATTCCAGGGTTGGCAGTGTCTGATTGCACTGGGCATGTCTTTCCTGGACTGTGGGCGCTCGGTAAGCATCTCTAAAGTCCTGCTGAGCGAAGACACCAGCGGTGGCAATTCTAAGTAAACACTGGGTCAGTCTGTCTGTCTCTGCAGGGAGCCATCAGAGCCAGTGTGTTTCTATGGTTTACTGTGTGAACATAGCCACATGTATGTGCTGTTGCACAGGCTGCAGTTAGGACTCAACTGTCAGTTGGGAAACACTGTGTGTGTGTGTGTGTGTGTGTGTGTGTGGTCTTTGTTCTGTTTTTGTGAACTAGGATCTTGCTAAAGCTTACTGTGTAGCCCAGGCTGCCCTCCGACTTTCAGCAGCCCTTCTGTCTCCACCTCCTGCGTGCTGAGGGTGCAGCATGCACTCTCACGCCCGCCTTTCCCCGGGTGCGCTCACAAGATGGTTGGTTTTGGCAGGGGTGGGTCTCGCTGGAGCACTTTGAAAACGTTTCCTTGAGCTGTTTTAAACACTAAGTTCCTAAGTAGCCCCTAATGGCTAATAGCTTGTTTTTATGATTTTGAGAGCAAATTCTGTATGTATTAATCACACTGTGTTCTTAATATGAGGAATTGCAGTTATGTTTTTCATAGGTGACTTAGGATATAGTAGCTCCGGGCATACAAATGTTATCGAGAGACACTGGATGTGGAAAGGAATATAAAATGCTTTTATATTCGCCTTCAAGTTATTTTAATTATGAAAAATCCAACTAGTGATGCCCTTCGTTAATTAGAGACAGCTACCTTCTGTGTGGTCAGAGTTTTTGTTTGCTGCTTTGGTTTTGTCTCGTTTTTCAAGACAGGGTTTCTTCCTGGCTGGAACTCACTCTGTAGGCCAGGCTGGCCTCGAACTCACAGAGCTATGCCTGCCTTTGCCTCCACCTCCCAAGTGCTAGGATTAAAGGCATACACCGCCACCACCCTGCTAAATTCAGGGGTTTATTTCTACTTTTAATTGCTCAGTGGAAAGTAAGAAGGGTCGGCAAAGGTGGATGTGGGCAAATGGTAGTCAGCCGCTGGCCATTGCCCGCCATCTAGAGAAGCTGTTTCCAGAGTGGAGCTTAGCAAGCTTTCTCTTTGCCCCGAGGGCAGCAGCTTTTGTGGAGTATGAGGCGCTCCCAATAGTATGTAATCTTAAGTACGCACCGTCACGGAGTCTCTGCCTTCCTCTCCCGAGAAAGCAGTGCTCGTGAGCTGACTCTCTCACGAGACTGCGCCCAGAAGGGTGCTCTCCCCGAAAGCGCCCTCCACCAAACCATGCCTCTTACCCACCACCGTTTCACGTCCAAGATGACTCCCAGGAGCTCTGGACCTAACCTTTGTCAAGTCGGTAGGCGTCACTGTGGCTGTGAGGTTCTCTCCCGGCAAGGTGGGGTGAGGCTGCTGCCTCAGAGAGAAGCCTGCTGAGGCCAGGCGAAGCTCTGGAGTCTTCAGCCCGGGACTGCTGCCCTCACTGCGGCCACTTCTGACTGCTCAGTGACAAGCCTGGGCTGGGCGCTGTCGCATCAGACCTGTCTGGCTGCCTGGCGGGATGAATGAGCACAAGCATGTGACCATTGTCCTGGGGCAGCAGGAGTGAGAGCTGCTTGGAAGGGCGTCCTCGGCTTGGAAGCTTTCTCCCTGGCTGGCTAACAACTGACCTTTGTTGTCCGCCCCTGTGGCATCATTGCAACTTCTTACAGTCAAAGCTCAGCATAGATTCCTGATGCAGGCTCTCCCTGCATTGACCTTAGCCCCTCAGCTGACACAGGTGACAGTGCCCTGCAGTACTGGTTCTCAACCTGTGGGTCGCTGCCCATTTGCAAACCTCTGGCTCCGAAAATACTACATTACGATTCATAACAGTAGCAAAGTTATGGTTTTGAAGTAGCAACCAAAACAACATGAGGAAGTGCATTAAGGGTCACAGCACAGAAGGGCTGAGAACACTGCCCTCCAGCCTTCTCTCACCTGCCCCTCCTGCCACCATCGTTCCTGACACCGAGCAGAGCGGTGCTCTGAGCACACTTGAGACTGACCTCTGGAAGCTGTCTGGCTCTAATACGCAAAGGCTGGGGTGACGGCAGCAGGATTCTTGCACAGATGCTCTAGAAGCGTTTACACTTGGGGGGCGTGCGGGTGTATCAGGTTCACAGATCTACCTACAGTCAGCCTAAAGCTCCGAGGGGCCTTGTGTGTCCTAGGCTCTGCTGCGCTCACTCCCTGCCCAGAATGCTTCTCTGTTATATTTGTTTACAGTTGTAGAAGGTTTGATTGTGTTACGTGATCTTTTTAAACTATGACTGTCACATTTTATGATGTCAGAAAAAGAAAACAAAGCTCCCTGTTCATCTGATTACCCCGGGAAGTGTACTTGCAACAGTTTTCTGTACAGTACTCCTTACCATTTTGCGAGATGAAATTTGTCCTTCCTTCCTCTGCTCTAAAGCAAACATTTGTCTTTCTGTAATCTTTTCTCACCGTTACAGTGTGTAAAAATTCCAAGCCCTCCACTCCAGTGTGGTCTGGCAGTGTATTTGTGAGCCATCTTTGTTCCGTCTCTGAATTGGTCCTTGCTGTCGTGTGATATGAACTAATTGTACTCCTCAATGCTCTGGCACTTGCCTGCGAGGTCCTGCGGGGGCAGCAAGTGCCTGCAGTAAGGCTCTCAGTGAACCTTGAACAGCTTGTACACTTGATCTGTGATTAAAACAAAACAAAACTTTCCTTTTTCCTGTTTGGATTCCTGGCTATTTTTTTTTTAAAAAACATTGAAAACACTATTGAGAGTGTCTGAACAACTTAGAAAGACAGACAGGCATGTCAGCCACCATCAGGAGTGATATACTTGAGGCACCGGAGTCAGTGCTCGGCTCCTGAAGGGACAGAGAAGTAAATGGTTTCAGTCTAAGACGCTAATCTCACCTCAAGGGCAGAGAGATGGCGTCAAGGGTATGGATGCCAGCACGCCTCACATTGGGGCGAGGAGAACCAACTCCAGAGAGTTGTCTCAGATCTCCACACGCGCTCTGTGGCACTCGCACACCCATCCCACATACGTACACATCAAATAAATAATACCTTATAATTCTTTGCTTAATGAAAATTAATTTAATTTCCCCATTCAAATAATTTTGTTGTGGTTAAGCCATAACTTTACCATTTTGAGAGAGAAAACTTGTCTGCTTGGGAGTGTTTGCCTTTGTGTCGTCTTGCCTCACCCTCCAGGAAGGCTCTTACAATATGTATTGTTGCCAAACAGTAAAAATGTAATTAGAGAAACCAGAGTCACTTAGCTTAAAGCCAGATGCGAGGGCTGGCTGACCCGTGTCAATGCAGAGTGGCGCCATTGCCCTATGTGAAGGGGGCGAGCCGCGGGCACGGTGAGCCGGCCGCTTTGTCACCAGCCCCGTGGCGGGGAATATGGCCTTACTTGGCTATCCCCAGGCAGGCAGGTAAGCCTCATGCTGCCTTGTCGAAGCCCCTCCCTGCCTCTGCGAATGATCCCTGCAGATTTGATTCACGAAACTTCCCATAACTTTGGCTTCATTTCAGAGCTAATCTAGAAATGGCAGCAATTTCCAGAACCCGATGTTAGGCTTTCCCGTAACCTCACGTGTAGAGAGAAGTGGCAGTCACTGAAATTGAGTGCTAGTTCTCAGAGCAGGGGCTGCTCTTCAGAGGACCCCGCATCATTGCCCACACCGCATCACGTGGTTCTCAGCCACGTGTAACTCCAGCTGCAGGGGACCCAGGGCTTGCTTCTGGCCCTTGTAGGTATCTGCATGTGTGTACATTCTCCCTCTCTCGCTCTCTCATGCTTGCTTGCTCCCTCTTGCTCTTTCTCAAATGTTTTTTCTTCCTTTTTTTTTTTTTTTTGGTTTTTCAAGACAGGGTTTCTCTGTGTAGCCCTGGCTGTCCTTGAACTCAGAGACCCACCTGCCTCTGCCTCCTGAGTGCTAGAATTAAAGGTGTGTGCCACGACCGGCTTTGAGTTCTCATATCAAGGCACTCACCCTCTAGAGTGAGAGGCGACCTAAGGGCTTAAAGCTTATCTGACTCATGTTGCCAATAAGTGTGTGGTTGTCAGTGGAACCTGAGCAGCTTTCAGCCAGAGGACCTGTCCATCCCAAACCACCGTGTGCAGTGCACAGCCTGGCCTTCAAGTGCTCTCCAGCGTGGGCAGGGCTCTCAACATCGCACCGTTTCAGTCAGGTGTGCTGGCATACTCGGAACCTCAAGTTACGCTTGAGAGGCCTGGTAAAGGAAGGCAGCAGAGCTGCACAGCTAGCTCAGGGCCACGGTGGGCTACACAGCCAGCTCAGGGCCACGGTGGGCTACATACACAGCCAGCTCAGGGCCACGGTGGCTATATACACAGCCAGCTCAGGGCCACGGTGGCTACATACACAGCCAGCTCAGGGCCACGGTGGGCTATACAGCCAGCTCAGGGCCATGGTGAGCTACATACACAGCCAGCTCAGGGCCACGGTGGCTGCACAGGGAAACCTGTTCCAGCATGGCAGCAATTTTGGGCGCTCGTGTCAAGCTTAGAGGACAGACAGGGCTCTGTATAGCTAAGAACCAGTCTCAGAACTAGGCAACACAATTCTCCAGTCAAGATACCTACAGGGCAATACTCTAATGTCAGGGAGTGAGGAAGCCCACCGTCTGCTCGCTTGGGACAGGTCTCCGTGAATCGTCAGTGAGTCCATCAATAGTTACTCGTTGAGCCAGACCTGAAGTGCCAGGGCCTTCTTTCCACACTGGCTGGGAACGCTTGGATCCAGGCCAGCCAGGGTCTGTGTCTCCTTCACACACTCTCACGGCGCTCCTGTGAGGTGACGTGGGGTAATGTGTGCTCAGTAGAAACTTCCTGAAGGCTTGGGGGGGGGGTCTCACCCGTGTGCTTGGCATCTCCAGATGGTGCACATTCCCATTTTTACACAAGAAAGGAAAGGTTTGGAAGAGCGGTGTAGTGCCTGACTAATCCCAGTGCCTGTGAGTTCCAGGCCAGCCAGGGCTGCAGACAGAGACCCAAAAACCCATGGATTGGGGTTAGCTAGGCAGTAAAGCATGTGGCTGTCATGCAGATGGCCTGGGTTTGGTCTCCAGTTCTGAAGATAAGGGGAAACCCAAAGGACACACGGGAAGGACGAAAGCTGTGCCTCGACACTCACACACTCCAGTGCTTTTTGCACGTGGGTATATGGCTGTAGTTCCTTCATACAGATTTGCAGTCTGCACACTACAGTACCACAAGACTGTGGGTACCAAGAGTCTTCCTAACGCCCCGACTGACATGAAAGTCAGTCACCCCAAAACGCATCACTGGACAGATAAGTACAACAGGTATGGCAGAGCACCCCTTTAGTTCTGGGGAGCAGAGGCGGCAGATCTCTGAGCCTGAGGCCAGCCGATTTAGTTATATAGCGAGTTCCAGGCTCGACAGGGTTGCTTAGGGAGAAAAGCAGCAGGGACTCACAGATCCCAGCAAGCCATCCGCATCTGGTTCACAGGGCCGAGCTCTGGAAATGCCTTTTAGCGTCTGGAGGGTCGGGGTCACATCCGGAATCACACAGGTGGTGGCGGGGCTGGTCCTGGGTCAGGAGCATCTTCAGCTCCACGGTACGTCTGAGGCCAGCCAAGTGATGGGTCCTGCTTCAAAAGCTCAGAAAGCACCTGGCAGGAAGGCCGCTGAGGTCCCGACTCAGGCTCGCGGGCAGAGGGCCCAGAGCCCTCTGCTCTCCCAGGGAGGCTCTCAAGTGTGGGCAATGGGACCACACTGAGGGCTCAGGCTTCCCCCCTCCTCAGGTCTGGTTTCCAGTACACAGTGCTAAAGCACAGAAGCTTTGTGTGTGTTTGGTCACATTATTCTGAAGTTCTACCCCAGCTTTACTGTGTCACCAGACAGAATGCACTGGGCACAGTCTCCACCCTTAACTCTTTCTGCTCTGTTATTAAGGACTAGAAAGCACTCGGGCAGACACAAAGCGCGCGTGCGAAGCACCTCAGCTCCTGTGAGTGTTCGGAGCTTGCCTTCTCTGGCGTCCTGGGCTTCTCCCTTTCTCTAAAGCGCCCTCTCTGCCTCCTGGTTCCTTAGCCGTCGAGTGGCAGACCTCCATGCTGCCCTAATTCAACTTCAAGGCTCTTTCCTGCTTCTCCGCTGTTCCCCACCGGCAGCTTGCCTGCCCTGGCCTTTTTCTTTTAGACTCTAAAATTGTCCTCGATGGGCTGGAGAGATGGGTCAGTGGTTAAGAGCACTGTCTGCTCGTGCAAAGGACCTGGGTTCAGTTCCTAGCATCCACGTGATGGCTCGCAACCATCTATAGTTCTGCTTCCAAGGACCTAGTGGCCTCCTTCTGGCCGCTGTGGGCACACGTGCGCGCTACACATTGAAGGCAAAACACTGATGCACATAAATAAAAATCTAGCATAAATAAAATCTAAATGTCCTTAACTTTAAACAAGTAAATAAAAGCCTACGCTCGCAAGCCATTTTCTCTCCTGAAATAAAATTGAGCAAAGAAACCAAAATACTATGTCAGCTCACCACACACTCAATCTCTTCTGTGTTTTTCCCTCAGTGCTACCTGGGACTGACTGCCCAGCCTGAGCTCTACCTTCTGAACAACGTGGATCTGGACCTGTTTGTGTCCAGATGACCAGCGGCCCGGGACAATTTAAGAACACAATCTCTGAGCACTTCGGTGCCAAGGACGCGTTAGCAAACCTGTTAGCTCAGGGGTGAGTTTGTTCACGTGTCTGAATGAAAACAGCAGACTGCTGGGGTCGGCTCACAGCTGTGCGTGCTCAGAGACACACCTGCCTCCATCGGTCACCAGGGGCCAGCGGCCAGCAGTAGGCTGCCACCGAGCGTCCCACACACGTATGTGCCCTTTTGGGGTTTAAAATGTACCAATATATATTTATGTAAGCCCGAACGTGCCAGTTTGGGTAAGATTTTAAGCTTATAAAAATTGATAGATTTTTTTAAATGTTCAGATGAATTAGGTGTTTGTTCTGTCTAAATGAAAAGTGAGAAAAGGAATGAGGCGCTCTTCACAGCGAGCTTTCCAGACTGACTGTCTTTAAAGGGCAGTTTTACTGCGCTGGCTGTTTCAGTTCATCGTCACCCACCGACTGGTCCTTTGATAGTGGCACATAAAAGTGTGAGTGGCCGGCAGCAGTGCACACCTATAATCCCAGAGCTCCGGGGTCAAGGCCAGCCTGCTCCACAGAGTAAGTCTAGGACAGCCAGGGCCACACAGAGAACACAGAGAAACCCTGTCTCAAAAAAAAAAAAAAAAAAAAAGTATGTGCATGTGTGTGTGCAAGCATGCGCATTTCTGTGTGTGCGTGTTCATGTGTGTTTGTATGTGTGCACGCTCATGTGTCCCTGTGCTTGTGGAGGCCACAGGAGCATGAACGTGGAGCTCACCAGTTGGCTGGGCTGGCCGACCAGTGAGTCGGGGATCCTCCTGCCCCTGTGCCTCAACACTGGGTTCCAGGCTTGCTGTCACACCCATGTTTTCGAGGTGCCCGGGGCCCACACCCAGCTCTCGTTGGGCGGGTGCCTGGCCCCTGCAGCCCCGGCCTTCCGTGCTTGTGCTCACACTGGCTGAGTTTGTTGCCGGGTTTTTCTGTCTGTGTCACCACGGTGTGCTGGCTTTCTGCTTGAAGTGCTGACGCTCCGCACATCGCAGCTAGGTCCCAGCTCTGTGTAAGGCATCTCAGGGTGTGTGTGACAGTGGGGTGAGGCTTGGCCTAGATGGGAACCCGGGCAATCAGTCCACACGCCTGCCTGTGCACAGGTTGTAGACTTTTTAAAATCCCGGTTGCTAAGCTTTTTATAATAAAGTTCAGATTTAATAACTAAAAGCTTTGTCTAGGGTTACTGCTCACCTGTAGAGTGCTTGCTTAGCTTAGGCAAGGCCTGGGGCGTGGTCCCCACCAGCACACACTCAGACACACATACACACTCACACACACTCATACACACACATGCATCACACAGACACTCACACACACGTATACTTATCCTAACCGTCTTCTTTGGGGGTGTTTTGTTTTTTTTTTTTTTTTGAGACACCATTTCTCTGTGTAGCCTTGGCTGTTCTAGAACTCACCCTGTAGACCAGGCTGGCCTGGAACTCACAGAGATCCTCCTGCCTCTGCCTCCTGAGCGCTAGGATCAAAGGTGTGCGCCGCCATACCTGGCTCCAGGGAGTTTTCTAGATTGACACTTTACAGTTTCTTCACTCCCATTTCACGGCCTGTTTTCTTTTTTTTTAAGGCAGTCTCACTATGTAGCCCTGGCTGGCCTGGAACTTGTTATGTAGACCACGCTGGCCTCACAGAGCTCCCCCTGCCTCAGCCCTCCACGTGCTGAGATTAAGGCGTGCCCAAATGCCTCACGATTAAGAGAAGAGCTCAGGTCACAGTTCTGACCTAACAGCTGAGGCAGAGTCGACGCCACTGGCGTGTTCAGCGTGGTCATTGACGTCTGCGCTTCAGTCTCGTATGCACCAGCTGTGGTCCTCGATGAACTGATTTCTTATGTAGCCACCCCTCCCCCAGTTCTGTTTCTCGGCGCCTCCGCTGGGAGGCGATTCTGGAGAAGAAAGGCTGATGATAAGATGAGCCCTGTTTTACAGCTCATACAGAGGTGAGGTGGTTGGACAGAGGTCAGGAACTCCTGAGGGTTTCTGTAGCTCACTGTGTGTGAGCAGGAGCCAAGATCAGTTGCCACATGCTCACAAGCATCACCCAAGGCCGCAGCGCTCTCGTCAGCAGAAGATGTAAGGCGACCAAATCCATCAGAAGACTGGCGATTAGGAGTGAGCCTGGGGTGGGCGTGTCAGAGCTGGAGCTGGACAGCCCCGCAGCCTTCGGGGAGCCCTCTGCAGCCCAGCGCTGACAAGGTAAACACAATGTGACCCCAGGCCTGTGGTGTACACCAACAGTCCCGCACTCTGGAGGGAGGGTCGAGGGCAGCAGGCCAGGCTCCTCCTGTGTGCCCAGCTCTAACCCCGGGGCTGGGTGGTTTGCTTTTGAAAGGCGGGTGGGGGTGCGGGGAGAGAGCTTGCTGGGTTAGCTCTTAGCTCTTGTAGAGGGTCTCCATCTGGTTCCCAGCACCCACAGGAAGCTCACACCCACCCCTATCTCCAGTCCCAGGGGTCCAGCGCCCTCTTCTGGACTCTTCAGGCACCAGGCACGCATGTGACGCACACGCAATGCATGTAGGCAAAATGTACACATAAAAAACTTCTAAAAACATTTAAATAACAAAATGTAAATGCTGTAGTAAAGGCGCTTGGCACCACGCCGGATGACCTGAGTTCCATCCTGGGGGCCCACGTGGCAGAAGGAGAAAACCAACTCTCACAAGTCACTGTCTGAGTCTCACTCACACCATGACCCCTGTACACACACTGGCACACACACAAACAAAAGCACAACCTAAAAAATAACAGGAGCACATTAAACACTTAGCTGGGTGTGGTGATCTGTGCCTGCAATCTCAGAGCATAGGAGCCTGAGCCAGGAGGGTCCCGAGTTCAAGGCCAGTCTGGGCTCCATAGCAAGGCCTCGTCTCAAAACAAGGGACCAGAGAGGCCAAGAGCACTGGCTGCTCCCGTCTTCCCCTCTTCTAGCTTCACACGTGCACATGCACACACATGCGGACACTCTCACACACACTCGTGCACACACATTCACACACACACACACATATGCACACACACAGGCAAAATGACCTAGACAATATAACTGACCATATAAGTTTAGAAACAGGTGAGCGGGAGCAGCGTCCTCTGCTGTGTGGCAACAAGTCTGGGTTCTGTGTGGCATTGTCTGGCAGTATTAGCCTGTTCCTTATAGGATAGCCGAGAACAAGGGACTCTGCCAGAAAAGAGATTCCCTTAGCCCACAGACCAGCTCACAGACATGGCACTATCAGTTCTCCTTACCGGCGGCCCTTGTCTGTGTCCCGGGGTGATCACACTTAGGGGGCCCACTGGCTTGGGAAAGAGAACACACCAGGAAACCAAGAGTGAGGAGATAGGTTCATTCATTCATTCATTCATAGTTTCTCCCTGCCTCCACCCCAGCTACCTCAAACCCATGATTATTGTTAAGTCCGAAATCACTGCAGGGAGGCCGCCACTCACATATGCAATTGGCAAGTATGATTTATTTCAAGAAAGCCTGCATGCAGGGGTCAAACCATTCTACAAAATGTCGACCCTACGCAAAGGCCCGCAGGCCTTTTTCCACTAGGGGAATTCTAGCAAGGGTGAGGCAAGGCTGCCCGGCACAGAGGCCCCACCCTGGGATACGATACCTTCCCATTCTTGTGCTTATCTCCAGGCTGTTCCTTGGGTAGGGATTGTAGGGTCTTGCTCTTGGAATTGGAGACCTATGGTCTAGTTCCTGGGGCTGATGACTTTAAAGTCAGGCCTGGTCCAAACAATGGAGACAAAATGGAGTTTATGCCGTCCTCTCAGTCATCACCTTAGCTCCCTACAAGGGCTGTCCTTGGCAACACCTTGCCCTCACGAAAATGGGCTTCCACAGAGTTTTGTTTCCATCTCTCCCCATGGCCTAACCTCTCACTACACCTGCTACAGAGACTCCTCCCGCCTCAGCCTTGCACACTGGGACCAAGCTTCGAACACGGACATTTGGGGGGATGTATTCAAGTGATAACAAGAATTAGCACAGTCTACGTGAGCCTACATTCCTGGGATTAAACACTGTGAGGTTTAATTGTGAAAGGGTGCCGTGCCGTTAAATAACTGGTACTGAGCTTCTGCTGCATGGCTGTGTGTCACCTCGCTGGGAAAGACAGGCGGAGAACACGCAGGCTTGTGACGTGGTAGCCTGCGAACACACCGTGGGGTTAGTCCCCGGACGCAGCTTAAGAGCCGGGCGTTCAGTGGTATTTGTTTATAGAGCGTTCCTCCCGGGGGCCTCCCCCTAACCCAGCCGAAGGGAACAGATGAGCTTCCCGAGCCCTTCCATCCTCCTGTAAATGCCACTCCACGGCTCAGTGTCATCTGAGTGTGGAAGTGTGCATGGCTTGCTGCCAGCAATCTTGGCGTGGCTTTTTAAGTGATAAAGATACTCTTCATTCACTCCGGAACATTACAAAGTAGGCGTCCCAAGATTAGGTGTCTTCCATGCAGGAGGGCTGAGGCAGGAGGATTGCAGTTTTGAGCAGAGACAGTACTGCATAGTAAAGTCTCCCACCCACCCACCAGAGTGGGTTTCACAATATACCCCAGGCCAGCCTGGAACTTGTGACCCTCCTGCCTCTGGCTCCCAGGGTTATTGGCCGCCATCATGCCCAGTTTTATAAAAGGCCATTTTTCTTCTCTTTTTAAAGATGTATTTGTTTGTGTGTGTTTGTGGGGTTTCCTTGCGTGTATGTACTTGCAATGAATGCACTCCTGTGCAGCTTGCTGTGAGCTGCCATGTGGGTGTTGGGACCCCGGTCTTCTGAGAGCAAATCAACCTCTTCCCTACAGTTATTGGTTGGGCGCACACGTAGGGAGCTCAGGAATCCATTTTCTTCTTCCACTGTTCAGCTTCCAGGGGTCATCAAGCGTGCCAGCAAGCACCTTTACGCCCTGAACCATCGTGCCTACCCGCAACCCTTTTCTAGGAAAACACAGCTGATCTGCACTGCCTGCTGAGTGTATGGAGGCTTCATTTTTTCTAGCCTGTTAGAAATCTGTCAGTGTGCTCTTGGTGGGGACACAGCTGCTGCCTGTGTGCACGAGGTCCTGAGTCCAGAGTTACGTCAGACAAAGACAACAGCAGGGAAGGTTTCAGCTAACTGCTCATGGATTTAGGAAGCAACTTCTTCACAACCCTTGAGACGGAACTCACAGACTCTACGAGGATTCTGGGTGGGCAGCACACGATCAGTGTGGTTGGGGACATAAGGAGAGTCCCTTTTTCTGACGACCAGCACTCACAGGCAGCTGGCTTTGCTTCC